CCACTGGCTGTGAACATTCTAAACTAACACGAGTCTCATTAAGTGTCCAGTTTAAGGGTATTACACAGAAACATACTAAGGGAACATGAATCAAATATGTACTTTTATTCATTTACAATAAATTCATAAAGTACATCATTCTTGATTGAAGCTAAGGGCATACAAAACTGTCTAACATATAGATGCTTCGTAGGTTTTTAATTGGATTTATAGTAGGTGCTATTTGGATTTAAGCTATTGATCGGAAAACTAGATAAATGTACATGTGTTTTGGAATTTTGTTAAACAGAGTTGCAGATGTCTTCTCTCACAGTTACTCTGTTGCAGTTCTCATACTGATTGCACACACCTAGATGTTGCTATTTGAGGAGGGGGCATGGACCATTTCTTGTAAAATAGTGACAAATGAATTAATATTGAATATATTTGAGACTTGTGCTGGAATTGTAATGGCCCATTAAGCTGTTGCAGAAGACCAAGGTTTAGATTAATATGCCTTCAAATTTGCTGCGTGTTAGGCTTTTCTAGAATGGAAGGCTGCCAGAAGGGAGGAGTTGTCTGGGTATCAGATGCAGATATCAGAGCAATATATTGCAAATGTGGAAATGGAACTCGAGAGGTGGCAAAATGCTAGGAATTCAAGAAAAGGGAACAACAATATGAACCTACAAGAGACAATGGACAAGGAGCTGGAGACCCACAGGCTGGAACATGGGCCCAAGACAAGGAAGATCCCTGGAACTGCCAACAATGATGATGAGGAGGATGTGGAAGACATCAATGTTGGAGATGATGATATGATGGATGATGTTCTTGTAGTTGATGAGAGCAGGAGGGTTGACGATGCAGCCAAGCTGGTAGAAGGTAATGGCAATGCAAGTCCTGGCATTATGGATCAGTAGTAATGAATTATCTCATACTCAATATTGCTCTTGTTTGTCCTAGTATATGTTAGAACAATTTTAGCTTTAGATAGGTTGTTTTCTGATATTGTAATGTTATATTTTATCGGTTATGATCTCTTTTTTATTATTATTATTATTGTTTTCCATCCAGCTTCTATCTGTAGATGATGGATATTTAGATTATCTTTTTCCTTCTGAGTTTTATTGTTGGTCAAGAGTGATTGTGGTTTAATTTCTGAATATACCAGAACGTGGGTTTTCCATTGACCATTGGTTCGATGCTCATTTTTGATAGTATGTGGTCCCATTCTGATCTTTCTAGCCTAAACATATGAGCGTGTCCCTGATTACCTTCTTTTTGGTGTTGTGATTTGTGAAATCACAGCATGCCTTGAACACATGCTGAACTTGGAATTCAATTAGACCGTCTCTAGTTGGGGCTGTCAGGAAGTCCGTCCCCTAGTGGACCTCATTTTGGGCTCTGGATCATTGGCATTGCCTACATTTTTTTCCCTTGACAAGCACTTGCATAGTGATGAGCTCTGGCGTGTATGAAAAATAGAGACAACTTGCATTGGCATTGCCTACATTTCTGGGGCAGGGTTTAACACATCGGCTTGCCAAGGCGAGGCACAATGATCTTTTTACAGGCGTAAGCCTCAATGTGTGAAGCTTATATTTCGTGAGACCTCATTATTTCAAGAAAAAACATGCGAATTTACTGGAAAATAAGTTGACTAGTTGTAGAAGAGCTTTAATACAAATTCTTACAGATACTCAAATGGATATTATTAAGGACTCAAAGGCTCAGTTTGTTCTCAAATGGATATTACTAAGGACTCAAAAGGCTCAGCTTGTTCTCAAATGGATATTATTAAGGACTCAAAAGGCTCAGTTTGTTCTCAAATGGATATTATTAAGGACTCAACGGCTCAGTTTGTTTGCAATGTGATCGTCATTTGCACTGGTGTAAATGAATGGGGCTGCAAATGGGCTGTGTAAATTCTGCTTTTCTTTTGATTCAGATTTGAATTGTCTTATTTATTTATTAGAAATAAAATGAAGTGGTTCCCAATTTATATGAAAATGGATGGAGATAGGAGGATTATTTGTTTGGGACTGAGATGGGAAGCAAGATGGTGGTGCAAATTTTGTATCAGTTTTTGGTACAAAATTAGCACTGTCAGTAAATGCAAATGAGATAAAAGTACTAATTTTGTGTCAGGTGGCAGTGCAAATCATTTTAACAAATAAATAAATTTTAAACTGAATAGAGTGCAAAATTTGTATCTGTCCATCTGGTTTAGATTTACACTGCAAACAAAAAGAGCATAAATATTTGTATTAAATATAAAATACACCGGGAAATAGGATTTAATGGAGTTTGATTCTTTTACAATGCTAATGTGCCAAGCTGACACATTTCTGATTTCTGGTTATTTTTGAGAAGTATTTATCTTTTTTCTGGTTGTTTTTGAGAAGTATTTATCTTTTTTATGTTTTTTTTTTAATGCTAATGGAGTTTGATTTTTTTATTTCTCTTGAACTTATCCCGACTTTTAGATGCTCCCAAAGCCCTTTGTACATTTTCTGGTAAAATACGATTTCCTACAATATGCCAAATAGGGCATATCAGACTAAAATTGCACACTTTTGTTTATTTTATAATTTTTAAACATGTTTAGGGGAGACTGGATCTTCTCCTCACATAGGGCGCCTCACACCGACTTTACACGCACATCTTACTATGCATTGGGAACATCTTCCGTACTTATTAGTTTTTATTCACAGGAGACGTTTCCAATGCACAGTGGATGTGCTTGTGAGGCGCCCATGTGTGAGGAGCAGATCCCGTTTTGTTCAGGGGTTGGTGTAAGACCTGGCTACCCCCTGCAACAAGGTCTTACCCCGAAACTTTTTGTATTTTATGTATCGACGAGTCACCAATATGATACGTATTGGCCTTTGGGGGTTGCAAAATAAGAGAAAAATATACAATATAGGGGGAAGAAGGTAATTTTATATCATAGACTAGTGGCGACCCGTGCGATGCACGTAATTTGTTAAGTGAAAGCTAAACAATAGAAACATGCAAGAGTATAAAATTGTTTTATATTTTTATATTAATAATTATAAATAAATACTAAAAAATATATTAAATTAGTCAATAAAAAGTGTAATAACAAATAATAGTTTAATTTCTATTAAATATTAAAGAATAAGTTATAACAAAAATACAATAAATACAATATGTACAATAAATTAAATTTAAAAAGTTAAATAATAGTAGTTTAATCTCCAATAATTATTGAAAATTTTCTGCTAAATAACAAAACAAAAATAGATTTACATATAATTATTAAAAATATATTTATCACAAAAAATCATAAATAATTACTGAAAATAAAATAAATATTAATTTTAGTATATATAAGTATACAATAAATATAGATTAAGATTTTAAAATTATTATTAAAAGATATTATTTTTTTCAAAGTTATTTTCTAAAAATTATTAATTGATATAAATGAAATTAGGTATTTACAATATTATTTAGTTATTTAAATAATATGATTATTTAAATTTTACAATATTAATCATTAAAATTATAATTTGTACTATTATTACATAATTACGTTATTAATTTTTAAAGTGTTAAATTATTATTAATTTGGATATTATGTTATGATTATTTTTCTACTTTTAAAATATTTCATTATTTAAAATATTTAGTTATTTAAATATTTAAATAAAATATAAAATATTTAAAAATTTTTGTTATTTGAATTTTATTTATTTTAAAGTTATTATATAATATTAAATATGTGGTTATATAATTATTTAGCTATTTTTAGTATTTTGTTATTTAAGATATTTAGTTATTGAAATATTTAAATAATAATTTATTTTTTTAATGTTAAATTTTTATTATTTGAAAGACATTTAAATTGAATAATCTGGAAAATCATAACTTATATTTTTAATACATAATTTCGTGATGAATTTTGTAAAAATATAAAATTATTAATATTAGATAACCTGGAAGTTGTTTTCTAGAATTTTTAATTGATATAAGTGAAATTATTTATTTATATAATATCATTATTTAAAATTTAAAATATTAATTATTTATTGAATTTAATAATCCATAAAATTATAATTTGTACTATTATTACATAATTTTATAATTAATTTTGTAAAATAATAAGTTATTATTAATTTGAATATTATGTTATAATTATTTTTATACTTTTAAGAAAATTTTTAAATATTTTATATATTCTTTAAATATTTTAAATAAATGATATTTATATATTTAATAATGTTTTAAATAGCACAGAAAATTCCATTTGGCCCTTTCAAATTGTAATTAACAGCAATTACATAAACCTCATCAATTATTATTTCGAAACTATAACTACATTATTAATAGTAATCATATTTGAATATATATTTAATTATGTTTTAAGTAGCATAAAATTACATTTAATTACCAAAAATTGTCATAAGTTAGTAGAAGTGGACAGAAATTTGCCAAGAAAATAACTAAAAATATATTACCAATATTTCTGAAAATATGATAATTTCTGGAAATTAATGGAAATAGCACAAAATTACCAATAATTAACAAAATTTGTCACAATTTCCAAAAAATATATTTTAAATATAAGAAAATTACATTTAATTACAAAGAGTTGTCATAAATTGGTAGAAATGGACAGAATATGATAATTGTTAAAATAATGTATACTTATTTTATAATAAATTCATAATAAAAAAATATGATAATTAATATAAATAGATAATATGATAACCAAGACTCTCCCCTAGTTTTTATCTATATCTACCTAAAGAAAGTTTAAATTAAAAAATTTAAGAAATATTTAAATATTTTAAAAAAATTATATAATAACTTTAAAATATTCAAATATATATATATATATATANTATATATATATATATATATATATATATATATATAATTTTCTCATTTTTTGAAACAACAAATGAAATGCTCTCCTTCCCCATAAAAAATTACCTAAAATATCTCTCTCTCTCCTACACTTTCCCAATAACCTAAATAATTTCCTCTCCTAAAATTTCTCCTAATAGATGGATAGATAGATAGCTAGTTAATGATTTTATTGATTGAATAGGGCTAATTTTGTCATTAAATAAAACACTTGGCAGTGTATGTGGACCACTTCTCATAGCCATTATTGGAAGGTATGTATCTTATAAATAAAAGTCTTTGGCAGGGGTCCTTTGCAGGTATTAAAAAGTCAAGGTAAGCTTACAAAGTGTTTTTTGTTTATTTTTAAATTTGGATCTTGGCTATCTTAGTTTTTACAAAGTGTTTTGAGTTGTAAAGATTACTTGTGCATGCACCTCTTTTTTGTATTTTGTTTGTGGTGTACAAAAGTTATGATAGATAGACTAGTATAACACATTGTATTACTCATGCACATTCTTTTATATATATATATATATTTTTGTGGTGCATGGGTCTTGGGAATTGGCAATGGGAGGAAAATTGATAGTGGCGAGGTAACACCCCTATACCTTATGATTTTCTTGTTTAAATCTACCAAATTTTATATTGGTCTGTAAATCTAAACTTTTTTTCAACATCTCTTTTTGTATATTGATGCCAATTGCAAGAATTGTCAAAGCAAATTGTGTGAGGTCTCTTGGAACTTGTGATTTCCTTGTTCAAATCTACCAAAATACATTAATTTAGGATCTGATCTTTGATAATCTTTTCTAAGTCAAAAAATATTGCTAGTGCCTTGAACTTTAGTTGGTGAACTTGTTGAACTCCATGAAGAAAAGCCCACCTTTCAGATTGTTGAATTATTTTTATTGTATTTTTCTCTAAAAATTGTACTTTAGATTGTTGAACTCCATGATGTATGCAGGTATAATCTAAAGGGAATATGAAAATACTAGAATTTGGGAGGATTGGCCAATTGATGGGGGAAATGACTCATGCAGAAGTTGTTATATTTCTGGCATTATAATATATCCAAAGTTTGATATACAGATTAAACCAATGTTCTGAAACAAGACTGATTTGGTGAATATGATATTTTGTGTTTTGATCATATTCACCAAGACTGATCATGGTGAATATGATATTTGGTGTTTTCACAAAAAAGGTGAAAACCAACCTGTACTGAAACAAGGCTGATCTGTTTGATCAACTAGGTTTACT